TGTGAAATATTTAGGTCTAGATCTATAATCTTCTGCTAGTGATGTAACTATACATGAAGTTGAAACTATTTTGACCATTTGCAGATCTGGTCGAAATAGGGTCAAAATAAGGTCGAAACTGATTTTTACTATGTAGTTGCCTCAAGTCAAAACATTTCGACTTTGGGGTTTTAATTTCAACTTCATGTATAGTTCTAATTGGTCAATATTAACTGGGCAATTGGTTCATCCACAGTTTACAATCTCACATTATTATTATGTTATCTTAGCCTTCATCAGGAAAATGGGTACAAATATTATGTGTATATAATACGCAATTGCAGAGATTAAGCATATAATATATGTACAATTTGCATACATAAAAAAATACATGATTTGTACGCATATTATATGCTTAATCCCTGCAATTGCGTATTATATACGCATATTATTTGTACCCATTTTCCTGATGTACCAATTCCCAACATATTGAGATAAGTTTCTTGACAAAGGAGTGTATTGTGATCCCAGTGATAGAAAGTTCTTTTATTAGATCTAGTTTTCTTTTTAAGATGTCTGCTAGTGCTTGTTAATACACCATCCATTGCTTTAAGTTGGGCCATCAAAAATATGTCTTGTTTTGGCTTAGAAAGAGCTTGAAAAGATTCCCTTAATTCTGCAAATTGTTCTTTGGGAATTCTTGAAGAGCAGCCACAATTACAACCTTTTTCTAAAAAATAAATTGCCTTTTGATATTCATTAGAATCATTATGTTTAATACTTTTCATATATGTACACTTATCCCTATATATATAATTTTATGTTCACTTTGTAAGGTTTTTTTAGAAATTATTTGTTAAAAAAAGTAATCATAAAATTAGCTGGAAGTTAAAAGTTCTAAGAAATATGGTTTTAGTACTGTTACCAGGATTGGATGATGACAACGATAATTTGGCTGAACCCTTTAATTTTAAATTTTATTTCTATTTTTATTTTTATTATTATTTTATTTTATTTTATTTTACTATTTCTATTTTTAATTATTAACCAATCTGTAGCACATTTAAAGCTCCGAACGGTTCGGTTCAAACCGAAAAATTTCGGTTCGGTTTCGGTTCGGTTCGGTTTCGGTCTATAAAAAGTCAAACCGAAAAATTTCGGTTCGGTTCGGTTTGGTTTCGGTTTACTCTTTGAACCGAACCGAAACCAAACCAAACCAAACCAAACTTTTTCGGTTTGGCTGGATCTTCATATTTATATTATGAAAAGTTTCGTTAATAGAAGATGTTTGTTATACATGCAGATCTTGTTAAACCAAAGTCACAAAAAAAATCTTCAGTTTTAAAAAACTTAATAAAATCGGCTTATAGAGATGATTTTTAATAAGTAGATAATAAAAAAACATTGGTTTGTTATCATGTGTATTTCTGTATTTATTTTCAGAGAGAAAAATTAATTATAAAAAATATAAAAAAAGAATCGGGGAAGTGCATTATTATTATAGAAAGATATACGTTATAGAGATATTGTATATAAATTCCTTATTTGGTTTATCAAAAAAAAATGTGCGCGCGCGTGTGAAAATTTTTTTTGTTATATATTTATAATAAAAAAATTTATATCAATGGATAATGAATTCTTTTATGATGCAAATAATGAGGCCTTTTCAGAATTTGAAGCAGCAACTATTATTGCTGAAGGTTCTATTATTTCTGAGGATTCTACCATTACCAAATCTACCATTAACGAATTTACCATTAACGAATCTACCATTACCGAAATAGAAAAAAAAAATATGCATAGATCAATTGTTCATAATAACTTCACTTTAAATAAACAAACAAATCAATATAAATGTAACCATTGCAGGTAAAATCTATAAGTCAATAATATTTTTTTTTGGATAGAAAAAAATGAAATAATAATTGTTTAATGAATATTCTAGTAAATTGTACAAAGCTCAAAGGGATGGTTCGACGTCAACTCTTAAAAACCATTTAAAAAAGTCTCATGCAAATTTATTTAGTAAAGAAGTTGGACCAATTGATATTTTTTTAAAATCAGAAAATAAATTAGTATGTATAATTTTAATCATTTATATTTAATAGAATACAAATTCAAAATCAATATATATTAATATTTTAAAAAATAATTAATGATTTTGGTAAGAAATTTACTCAAGAAAGTTGGAATAATGATTTAATCAAATGGATTGTTACATCTGATCAACCTTTTACAGTCATTGAAAGTAATTTCTTTAAAACTATGATCAAAAGACTTAAACCTGAAGCAAAAATTTTTTCTGCTGATACTATACGTAACAATATTTTTAAATCATTCAATGAAAATCTAATTTTTATAAAGAATCTACTTCAAGAAGTACCTGGACAAATTTCATTTACACTTGATTCTTGGACGTCAAAGAATCAAGTTCCTTTCCTTGGTATAACAGCACATTGGATTTCAAAAGATTGGGAGCTCAAAAGCATTCTTCTGGATTTTTGTCACTTAGAGGGTTCTCACTCTGGTGAGAACATGTCTGAAGTATTTTTTAAAGTTTTGAAAGAATTTGGTATTTTAACAAAAGTTAGTTATTTAATAATTAAATGAAAAATCATGATTAATATTTAATTTTAAAATCATAATTATTCTATGTATGTGTAATTTGGAAAATTTTTCAATTATTCAATTGTTTTTTTTTTTATGTAGATTTTAGGCATAGCCACAGACAATGCAAGCAATATGAATTCAATGTTTAATTGTTTGGAACAGGCTTTTTGTAGTGAAGGAATTCATTTTGATGCAGGGAACCAAAGAATACGCTGTTTGGCCCATATAATCAACTTGGCAGCTCAAGAAGCCTTAAAATCACTTAAAGGAATGGGTCCAGAAAAAGAAGATGATGCTTTAGATGAAGAAGATGATGACAAAATTAATGTTATCAAGAAGGTAAAATGAAAATTTTTTTATTAACTTTTTACTATTTTATTAATTAAAATCATTTTTATTATAGCTTAGAAAGCTAGTTGTTAAAATAAGAAGCTCTCCACAACGACGTGAACGTTTTAGTCGCCAATGCATTGCATTAAATATTAATGATTTGCAATTGATCCCTGACATCAAAACTCGTTGGAATTCTAGTTTTGAGATGATGAAACGTGCATTACTTCTACGTGAGGTAAAATTATTGTTTTAATATTTAATTTGTGAACTTTCTCAAAAATTAATTCTTTTCATTTTTTTTATTAGCCACTTCATAATATGGTCTCAGCTGACAAAGAACTTAAATCATACATATTATCCGATAATGATTGGCAAAGAATTGAAAAAATTTCTAATTTATTGGAGGTATATAGTTTGATTTATATTTTTAAATTTTCAAAGGTGTATTTATTAATTTTTATTTTTTATAGTGCTTTCAGATTGCGACATCCGAAATTAGTAATGCTCATTATCCTACTTTAGGACGATCGGTTCCTATATACAATTACTTGATTGATTTAATTGAAGATTTTCTTGAGTTACAACATCCAGAAGATATTTGTAGTGCAGCAGAGAAAGCTAAAGATAAATTGCAAAAATTTTACCCAACTTCGGATGGGTTAGTTTACATAGTTGCAACCAGTATGCATATAAATATACACATCTATATTTGTTTGTTTATTTTAATAAAATATAAAATGTTAATTGCTATAAATATTTAATAGTCATGGACCCTCGTCTGAAAATGCAGTATTACATAGACAATGAATTTGATGACTATATTGAAATGTATAAAGAAAAAATTTCAGATTTATGGAAAATGGAATATATGCCAATCCAGGAGTGTAATACTACTATTCAAACCACCAAAACACCAAATACACTTGAATCTCACATACTCAAAAGACGTAAAAACATTCAAACAGATGAACTTGACATGTATTTGAACAGTCCTCCATTAAATTTTGATACAGATGTTTTGTCATTTTGGAAGGTAAAGACTTTACAATATTATAAATTACTTATATATCAAGTATATAAAAAACATTTAAAATTGTTTTTTAGGCTCATGAAATGGAATATCCTAATTTATCAAGAATAGCTAGAGACTACTTGGCAATCCCCGGTATTCTAATTTTTTGCACTCTGCTTATTTAAGATTAGATTTATTAATTTCTAATAAACCTATTACTTATATAGCCACTAGTGTCCCAATTGAACGGGTTTTCTCTGGGGGCACAGACTTAATTAATCAAAGGCGATGTAGTTTAGAGCCTAAAACAATAAGAATTTGTATGTGCTTAAAAAGTTGGTTGCGGCAATGAATTTGTTTTAATAAATAAATAATTTGTAAATGGATCTTCGTTACCACAGTCGAACCTCGTTATAACGAAGTGTAACCTAATTAAATACATGTTATAACGACTTTTAACATTTTTGAAATCCGTTATAACGTGACTAATACTAATAAATTTATTATTATTATAACGGATTTTTAAATATCTAAAATCCTTTATAACTTCATGTATATAGAAGCAGGATCCTTCCAGCATTTTTACTTCGCAACATACATTCAGCCACAAGTCATTATAAGTTATTATGTTATGTTTATTTTTGCATAGTTAACGAATTTGGGATACCTGAAATTTTTGGTTTAAATTAAAATGTAAACCGAAAAACCGAACCGAAACCGCATTTTCGGTTCGGTTTCGGTTTGGGCATTGAACCGAACCGAACCGTTCGGAGCTTTAAATGTAAGTGTGAATTATTGTTATTATTCATTTTTGGATGTTATGCTCCTCCAAAATGATTACAAAAAGGAAATAAGAGGGAATCCCACATCACAAAAACTAGCCAAGTTTAAGGATAAAAATATTAATTGGAAATCACCACCTTGAAATTACCTTGAAAAAGTATTAGAGAAACTTAATGAAATGATAGATACAAGTAACATGAATACACTTGTTTTGTCTGGGCATCTTGGGAGAATCAAGGAACCCAACATAATGTAAATATGGAAAGAAGTAACGGAAGAATATATGACAGCTATTTCAATGAATATTGCTACTTTAGCTACTACTCCTTCACAGGATTCTGGTTCTAGAATGACAACTACTCTACGGCAGATTGCTCAAAATGAACACAGCTTGGCTGATATAGAACAGCAATTAGTTTCTGGACAAAATGTTAATCATCAAGTATTTGAATCTTTTTTGCAATGTTATTCAAGAGGCCACAAACATGGTAAATTTGTATTGCTTTAGAATATTGTGGTGTTTTATTATTATATTAACTTTTACCAAACATGTCAGGTCATATCAGGAAAAGTATTTTCTTTTCTGGGTAATCCAGATGTTGAATGTCTTGATCTTACAAATGTTTTTCCACAGGGATATAATTTTGGATAAAATAAATCCATAGTCAATATAGCATCAATTTGTGAGAATGTGACAGCCTTGATTGATGCTGGGTTCTTCTCTTTTTCTCATTTTGAAAATTTATTTTATGGTTGTATTGGAAAAACAGTGCAAAAAGAGTCTACATAAGTAGAAATATTACTCAAATTTATTTTTTTAAGATTTGTAATATGTGGATACTATAATTGTTATATGGGTTTGTGCATTAACTTTCATTTTTATTTTTTTCGAGCAAATTAGGAATGAGATTAATTTGAAAAAAGTTGTACCTTCAGCAATTGCTAACGCAACAAGTAATCACGCAATCTGCTAAGCAACTTTAAAAGAATTTTATACATCATCAATTAACATATGGAATAGAGACATATATAAAAAAAGTTTATGTAATGTTATCTGAATTCTCCTTCGGATTCATCTTGCACCTGAAAGAATGGCAAGATATCAAAAAATTCGACAGAGGAAAGCTATGGAGAAACAATCAAAAAAATCAAAAAAGAAGTCATAGGGTCAAAGTCAATAGTATCTTATGAATGAACTTGCATTTGCCATCATTTTATTTATTTTTAATGAGTTTTTTTTTTTAATGAGTCACATGAAAAGGACAGGGGACAGTTGTAAGTGGCTGGTTCCCTGTTTCCTGTCCTTTTCGAGTTTTCCGAGTAAAAGATTGAAAAGGACAGGGGACAGGTTTACTGTGCCGCACCTGTCCCTTGGCTTTTTTCGCATAATTTCTTGAAAAGGATAGGAAATTAATATTTAACTAAAAAACTTCTTGTAAAAATTCCTTTATAAATAAATAATTAACAATCATCAAAAATGATAATTATTGTTTCTGTATATTTTTTATCTTTATCTTTTATTCTTTTACTCTGATGAACTTCAGTGTTTTCAGCAGTCACTCTAATTTTTAAAAATTTATTTAGCATGATGTTTATGTAAAAAAATAACAGACAAATCGATACAAATTACCTCTTAGATTTGTTTATTTTGATTGATTATTTGTTTTCTTCTCTTTGGTTGAATCATTATTACTAATTAAAGTATATTTGTTGTTAACTTCAGTTAGATAAAGTAAAATTATAGAAATAAAGAGTATTCACCTTTTAACATAATAATATTGGTGTTCTTTGTTTCTAAAATAATTAACCACTAAAAAAAGAAATAAAAAAATTAACTCTGTTGAATAACAAAAATTTTTTTGTAAATAAACTTACAATCTATTCCTGAAATATTTTCTTTCTAAAAAATTTTCTAAAAAATATTTATAAAATCAGTGATTGTATAAATGTAATATATAGTTTGTTTTCATTTAATACTTACTTGCTCTACTATTAAAATAATTGATGAATGAATTGGGATTATTCAATGTATAGGCCACTAAAACAGTTAAAGTTTGGCATCCAGCAATAGATGTTATATTTTTTGATTCTAAATGTACCATTAAAATAATTGAAACAATAATAAATAAACTATAAAATAAATCGTATAAAATACTTGAATTTAAATAATTTTAAAAAATTCCGAAATTTTCAATTGTGTTTTCATTTTTTTAGGTTTTGTAAGAAAAGTTTGCATTTAAAATTCTTTATACCAAAATTATTATCACGTTTCAATGAATTTTATGTTTTTAAAAATTCATAGTAACGCGAATTTGACTATAAAATTTCACAATGTTTGCGCAGAAATGTAACCCGTTTAAAAAATCTTTATTATTATTGAATTGAGCTAGAGTAAGAGTTCCTATTCGTAATACGAATTCTTATTCGAATTATTTATTCGAATTATTAGTATTGGTTTTATTAGTATTAGTATTAGTATTAGTGTATTCGAATTATTTTATTCGTTTATTAATTTATTCGAATTATCCGAACTATTTCGCTTTTATTTTATTCGAATTATCCGGGGGTTTTTTCGTTTTATTCGTTTATTCGAATAATTCGAATCATTTGTTTTATTCGCTTTATTCTCTAAGTTGAGCAGAATCGAGTTAAAACTTGAATTTTCAAATTCAAGTGGATACAACCACTACTTTATATGCACTTTAAGAATTGTAAGATGTCAATTTTCTTACACAAATATACTACAACTTATAAAATTGGAAGTCAAGAAGAAGTGGATGAAATTATCAATTTTTTAACTTGTGGTCTTTTGTTTGCAAGTATTTTTTCTGCAACTGCAAACAGCATTTATTTTGTTTGCCTAATACTTTTAATATATCAGTGGTTGTTTGGCTTCGTTATAATTGGTTTTGATGAGAATTACATTCATGTGTATTCCCCCAGTTTAATTATATTTTTTTTACATAAACTATTGGAAGGACTGTGACTTAAAAGCATATCATTGGAACATGGTGACACAAATAATAACTGTGGAAGCATTTTTCCAAAATTCTTTACCTGATAATCTCTTTGAAATAAAGAAAAATGTATAACTTGATCGCTGATATAATTGGAGCTAATGCTTTAAATACGGTGATTACTATAAAAACCAAATTGTTGATAATAAAATATTAAATTATGAAATATTTTTAACATGTTTACCATATTTAAAATAGCTTTTGCCAATTTATTTCATCGTCTATGGAATTCAATTATTTTCTTTTTCTATAGCAGCACCTTTACGAACGGAGAAGGTAAATTAATTAAATATATATTTTTATAATATAAAAGTTTATTTATAATAAATAGTTGTGTATTATATAAAGTTTTATGATCTTTCAGGATGGTAAATATTATTTATTCTAATATTCATCGATTTACATATAATCATTATTAAACTAATCTCAAAATTTTCTTTTTTTTATTTATTTCAAGTTTAACGTTTACAATATGTGGAATTTTTTCATTATTAAAACCTTGGGAAACAACTTTCCCTGATTCATTAACATCTTTATTAGAAATGTATCATATTCGCCAACTGATAGCCACATCAATGATGACAATTTGGTCGATTAGATTGGCAACCTTTTTATTTTATAGAGTTATGAAAGCAGGAAATGATTCAAGATTTAGTAAAGTTAAAATTAATCCCAGGATATTTTTGGTTTTTTGGATTGGACAGGCAGCTTGGATATTTACTACAGGACTGGGTGTTTATTTAGTGAATTCTATTGTAAGATTTGTCTATGTAATTAGAAAAAAAAAAAAATCTTTTAATCATAATGACAAGATTAATAACATTAATAAAATCATCTTCATTATTAATTAGCCTAAAGAATTTCAAGAAAATTTAAATATTACAGATTATATAGGGATAATAATGTGGGTGATTGGTATAACTTTTGAAATTATTGCAGATTATCAAAAATTTAGTTTTAGAAGTGTGCCAGAAAATAAAGAGAAATTCATTCAACATGGATTATGGAAGTATGTGAAAAAGTGAAAAAATCCGTTAGAAAAAATTATACACTAAATATATGTATTACTGAATACATAAATATATATTATATAGATTTAGCAGGCATCCAAACTATTTTGGGGAAATTTTATTAGTAAGTTATAAATTTTTCCTAAGAACAATATTTATAAAAAATTTTAAAAAAACAGTGGTTTGGAGTTACCATTCTTTGTACTCCCACTCTTATATATGTGTCTAATATTCAACCTGAATTAATTAAACCATATTTTGCATATTTTATCTGGGCAACACCATTATTTCCAGCTTATTTAATTACAAAGGTATCAGGTATTCCACCTTTAGAAAGAGGTAATGACAAGAAATTTGGAAATATAAAAGCATATAAAAGGTATAAAGAACAGACCAACATTTTAATTCCTTGGTGGCCAAAAAGTATTAAAAATAAGGAAGAATAATAAAATATTCTTTCTAACAAACATAATTTACATACAGAATATGTATTAAGATGGTAATTTTGACTCACACAGCATGTGTAATAGTAATGATGAATTCTTTTCCTTGCATAAAGAAAAAGATTTCATCTTGTTATTTAATAAAGCTAGTATTTTCATCTTACCATTGGAACTTTTAATTGAAATATCTAAATATACTGAAGATTATAAAACACTATATTCTTGCATTCTTGTTATAAAAAATAGCATAATACAAATTCCAACTTTATCATTCTATTTTGTAGAAGACAAGTAGAAATTAAATTCAAATTATTAGTAAGGCTCCGAACGAATCAATGAAATTCGAACCGATTTGAACCGATTCGAACGGATTTGAATATATAATTTGATACAATTCGAGCTGATTCGAATATATAATTTGATTTGAACTGATTTGATTTGATTCAAACTTACTGGTTCGAATCTATAATAATAACTAATTTGAATTCATGATTTGAATCAAATACACTATAGATAATAAATGAAAAATCTTTATTTTAATGTATATTTTATAATTTTATTTACAAAAATATTTTTTATTTTATATTTATTTATATAGTATAAATATTGTAAATTCAAAAAAAAAAATTTTACCTGGAGCAATCTTGTTGAAGAAATTGAAGTCGGTAATATTAATACTTAACAACTGTAAATCGTTACTTTTTTACTCATTATTAATAATATAGGTCACACGACCATTAATATTAATATTAATATCAAGAAATCCGTTATTATTAAAAATTCGAATAAATATCATATCAAGAAGAATTTTATTATCATTAAACCATTCTTAAACCTCAATCCATTAGTATCCATTAAGTGGAGGCACACTGATTGAGATTCACTGTGTTTAATATGACATTAAAAAATTTTTAGGAATCAGTTCAATTCGATTCGATTCGTTCGGAGCCTTAGCCCCAATGGTACACTTAGTATGATCTTTGATGGAATTAAGAGATTAAATAAGGGTGAAAAGTATTTAAAGATTACTTGTGATAATGCTGGGGGACAAAATAAAAACAATGTAAACAATTTGGTTTTATTTATATTTGGTAATTTGTGGTTATTATGAAACTATTGAATTAAATTTCATGATTCCAGGACATACCAAATTCAAATGTGATGGTAGTTTTGGACTGATTAAAAAACTCTACAGAAAAACAAGAGTAGATTGTGTGGGTCATGTGGTTGATGTAGTGAAAAGGTCCAGTCCAGCAAGGATTGAATAAAACCCAATGTTATGAATATGGAAAAGATTTTCAATACTTGGATATTAAAGCAATTTTGGGAATTTATTTTAAGAAATTGCCAAATATACAGAAATATCAACATTTTCTTTTTGAAGCATCTAATCTTGGTGTTGTTAAAACTCAAGAGGTTGCTAATGGACCTTTGACTGAATTCAATTTATCAAAAACTAAGAAAGCAGATATTTTTGAAGGGATTAAATCTTTATCTATTTTAGTGTTAACAACACCTCCTTTAGACTACAAAAGACAAGAATACCTCTATCATAATATTCGCCCATTTGTAAAGGATGGGTTTAAAGACACCACTTACCCAATACCAATCTATACTGGCAATGAATAAAATAAAATCACCTCTATGACTTCATCACTCATTAATTTGTTCCTTACTGTCATTAAGTTTAATAAATTTAATCTTTCAATGAATATTCCACTTTTTAAAGTAAAAAAGTACTAAAATAATTTATATACTTAATATGCCCTCATAAAAAGGATATAAGTATATTAAAAGAGCAAATAAATTAAAAAGAAAATCATGGTAAATGTAATAATAGAACTTGAACAGAGGAACAAAGAATTATCAAATCGAATTGCTGATTTAGAAAAACAATTGGCTGATAAAGAACAAGAATTTAAACTAAGAATCTATGATGCAGTTGAAAATGTTGAGGAAAATGAAAGTTCAGAAATTGTTGGCACTTTAATGGCCTTAAAACAACAACTTTGAGCTTGAGATGAATGGGTAAAGGTTCAAAAAGAAAATGGAGTTGAGAAAGTTATGAATTCTGGGTAGTTTTTTTATGTCCATCATTATGAAAATATTGTAAATCTGAAATTGCCTGCCGAAATTGATTTTTTCAAAAACCATTTCGGCTAACATCTTTAGTTGAATTTCTATTGTTAATTACTATTAGGGTTGATTATAAAAAGCTTTTATTAGTATAGTAGTAGTATGTGAGTACCATTAATATATTATGAGACAGGACCCAGAGCAATATATATATATATATAGGCAACTTCGCAGGTTTGCGAAATATTCAATGACCTCACATGTTTAATTTGCTTATTTTTCAAGTAAATTGGGTCGATTATTACTACATGAAGTAAAAATACTTAAATTGACATTTTTATCAAGTCTGTGTGAAAATATTGTAATGAGCGATTTTTAAAATACCCATATTGTGCCCATATTACTACAACTCGAGAAGGTTTGCATTTGTGGTACATATTTATAATTGTGCAGATCAAATATTTAAATTAAGAAAAAAATGGAAATAAATTGGAATAATACATGCGATGTACATACACATGTACATGATGATATTGAGAATCTAGAGCGTATAGGTGAATTGAAAACAGATAAATTATGTCTTATGGGAACAAATATTAAAGATTTAGATTTAGTAGCAGAACTTTCAATTAAATATAAGGATAAAGTCATTCCATGTTTTGGTAATAATAATAATAATAATAATAATAATAATAATAATAATAATAATAATAATAATCATAGTAATAATAATGCTATGTTATTTAGATTATTGACAATAATAATCTACTATTATTTAGGATTTCATCCTTGGTATGTTCATTTACTATCATTAGAAAATAATATACCTAACAATCAAGAACACTATAAATCAATAATTAATTATAAATCAGAAAACAAAGATGACAATAGTTCATCATTATATGATGAATTTATTAAAGAATTGCCAAACCCAATAGCATTCAATATTTGGTATGACAAACTTGAATCTTTAATAATAAAATACAATGAGAATTGTTTAATTGGAGAAGTTGGAATTGATAGATCATTTAAATTAAAAAATCCAAATAATAATAAGAAATTATCAAATTATCAAATATCGATTGATCATCAAATATTAATATTAGAGAAACAAATTGAATTAGCAATTAGATATGGTAAAAGCATTAGTTTACATTGTGTACAATCAAGTGGAAAAATTGTTGAAATTTTAAAAAAGTTACAACAAAAAAATACTCAACAAATTGACAGTATTAATAATGATTTACAGTTGAAAATATGCTTTCATTCATTCTGCGGATCAATTGATACAATAAAACTTTTATTATCTTTAAACAACAGTCCTAAAAAGAATAAAAAGAGTAAATTATTATCGATAGAATGTTATTTTAGTTTTAGTAAGGTTATAAATGAAAGATTGTCAAATAGATTGCACGATCTGATAAAATTTGTGCCAGAGGATAGATTATTAGTTGAATCTGATTTCCATTCACCAGTAGGTTTAGATTATTTAATGCAAGACATTATTCAACTAATTAGCAAAGTAAAAGATTGGTCATGTGATTTTACAATTAATAAATTAAAAGATAACTTTCTAAATTTTATTAATAACTATAACAATAAAGATAAAGAATGTAATGTAAAATGATTAATAAAATGATCAAGATTTTTTTATTCTAGACGTTAATCTATTAAAAGTTTTACAAAATATAGCGAAAGAAAAGTTGACATTTGTATCATTTGAGGAAGAGATTCTGGAAGCCAATCTCACAAAAGCTTGTTTATAATATATAGGACAATTCCTCCAAGTTATAGAAGCGACTAAAGCAATTTCTTTCATAAATTGAGAACGAAGTTCTTTGTAATTGTGATCATGTTCAATTTTATTTTGTAAAGTTAATAAGAACAAATAGAATGCGTTGTCAGAGTTTATGTGTTCTTGCTTCTTATACTTCTTTACTAATTTCTTTATGAATCTTTCAGTAGGCACTTTTATGGGTATTTCATCACCATTTGAAAATGTTGCATTGACAGTGTTTGGTGTTATTTCACTTTCAGATTCAGTGAATGGGAAGACAGAGCTTTCTGATCTTTCTCTTAGGTTTAACTTGGAAAATAATTTTAAGACTTTGTGAGGTTTGTTACGAATAGGGTTATGAAATTTTTTATATAAGTCGCCAAAATAATGACGTCGATGGTGTTTATGACATCTATACATTTTTATATAGTTTAAAATTTATATTATAATAATATTTATAGCTCTTATATCGCATTATTTTTTTTTTATCAAAATACGAAAGAGTGTATATGCAATAGATGACAATTTCTTTTTTTTTTTTTAATAAAAAAGAATTTAAAGAAATTTCATTTATTTTAACAATGAAACTTTAAATATTTGCAAATTTGGAAATTTTTCTTTATTACTAATACTAATAATAACGATAATATTGGTCACATTACGACTATTACGACTGAATTTTTTTTTCGAAAATATCTCGTGAACTTCTAGAATGCGGGACTCATTGTCATGTATTCCGCGTCACTAATAAAATTTGCAAAATTAACAAATTTAGAAATGTTTTGTCTGAAAAAAAGATATTATTATTATGCAGATATTTTTTTTTTATGAAATTATATGTTTTGTAAGTTTCAAATTATAATCAGGAAAATGGACGCTGTTTTCAAAATCTACCACGTCTCTAAAATTGGTGTCTGCAACTTGTTGCAACGTCACGAATGGCAACTAGTTGCAGACTCTATCTATATTACAGCACTTATGTTCTAAATTCTGGCAATTGAATTGATTTTAAGATTGATCAAAGCTTTCAAATTTTCAGAATTGCGACAAATCAAAAAGTCTTCCTACTTTGTCTCTGGTGATTATTTTTGGAAGAATTAAAGGATCTACAAGGGTAAATAAAGTTCGACGACTAAAATGACTTGTATCA